AATGCATGCTGTATCATGCTTGTTTAGGGAAATTTGGAGGCATACTTCTCCAAAAAGAAATTTTTAAATAATGAACCTAAGTGGTGCTTTCTGAAAGAATAAAGTAAGAAAAACTGGAAAGCTTAAAATACCTGAATGAAAAAACAAACAAAGAAATACACTGTAATACAAAATAGCATTAATACATATACAGAAATCTCAAGTAATAATATTTTAATAATGTGAAAGAAACAATCTCCTTATATTTTTGCTGGAGTTGCTAGCTCCAAATTGCAATATGCTTTAGCAAAAGTGCTAGTTTTTCCTGACTATCTTCCTAATCCAACAGATATGGACAAAATGTGGTCCATATAGATATGCTTGAAGGTTGTTTACTTTTAACAGTAACAGTAGTAATCACAAAAAAAAGTACATCAAAGTTGAGCTGACATGACATAGAATATAATATCACAATAGTGTTATAAAAACAATTTCCAAATGTCTAAAATAAGAAACCAATGTCCTGTTTAAGAATCCCATAATACTTTTACAACAGTGGAAGTCAAGCGATGCTGGGAGCATGCGCGCCGGAGTTTCTCGAAGGATCGTGAATTTGCCCGCCAGCTTAAGTGTGATCTAGATGCCCTCTTTTTTTAGTATATATAAGCCTGGCAAAGAAAGCCAGCAGCAGATAGATAATTGAGTCCAGCGAACAATAGGCACCATAAGTAAAGTGTGTGAATCACTGTGATTTATAGCATGTGTGTTATAAAAGTTGTTAAGTCTAGAGTGATGAGGTACGTACTCACTGTAAAATTACTGTGTATTAAAAGGTTGTATCGAGGATGAATAAACTGGGTTAATCAAGAAAGGACTTGTATCGCTGAAGTTCCTCGGAAAGAATTTATACCAGAAATTATCAAATAAGCAGATACGCAACAATACTATGAAAAACAAATAAGAATAATTGATCATTTAGAAATACCTGCATTTTCATTAGAAAAGTATTGACAGAAAACAATAAAACCAATAAGAGACAGCCTACCCTCCAAATGACTTCACCAAATACAAGAATGTGTAATGTGTGAAATAATAAAGGTTTAAACTAATTTAATATAAAATGAATAACATCTTTACACTCTGGTCATGACACTTAGAGAAAATGCACAAGACTTGGCACATCTAATATAATCAGGCACACCTGCACACACATTGTAGAATATTTCAATATCATTTTCAAATTTCAGCTTAAAAAAGTGCCCTAGTCCAACACTTCTATAATAAACATGGTTTTTGCATGGCTGACACATCTTTCTTATACAACATATATATGTATATATACATGTAGGTATGTATGTATACTTTAATTCAACTAAAAATTAAATAAATTCTTAGTTGTCAAGTCATTAAAAATATCTGTAAACTGAAAAATTCATTGAACTAAAGACTTACAGCTGATCATAAAGGATTTTCTCCCAGTTTTTCTTCTGCTACATGTAGATTATTGACGTAACTCTCAATGTGTGGATCAAGGTTTACTGCTTTTTTCTAACAATCTCGAGCAAGAGCACGTTGATCTAAACTAGCATAACCTGTGTATGATCAAAACAAAATAAACATATCTCCTTATTTGATGATCATGAAATAAAGTTATTTACATGAATATACAGTTTCAATGCATAATTAACATTTTAAAAAACCTAGAAATTAAAGATTTTCAGGCACAAGTAAAAAAATCATTGGTGTAAGGTATTTCTAACCTATTGTACAGATGAACACTTTCCTATTGGGCAGGGGGATGAAGTGATGTACTAAGAGTTTAAACAGCCACTTTCACCTTTTGCAAGACCAAAAAATTTTACATAGTGAAATAACTAAAATCACAAATTTACATTTGTACAGCTAGTAACAAAAACTATAAATTAACAGTATTATATTTGGTCAATATTCTAAACTGAGATAAAAAGTATAAACTCAATCAGATGCCACAAACAGAGACACTAGTACGTGTTTGAAACGTATGGCATAGTTTTAATTTTTGATTTTAACTGTAATATTTATTTAGCGTATTAATAAGAAGTTTAACAATACATACCTTCACATGCATACAAGCAATCATCATCCAATTACATGTTCATTACGTAGATGAAATGTTCAGGAAGTTTGATTAACTTCTTTGAACAAATGTATACACAAACAATACCATTACCCCAAACCTTGAGCACTTTTGTGGTATATAAAATGCTTCATGAGTAATTATCCTTTGAAAAGCATAATGCTCTCATCAACAGATATTTTGTTCAGGCAAACAATACAATTGAAAACTCTGCTGTAATATGCCCAATAATGGCCTAATTTTTTGTAGCCTTTCATCTTCAGGATACTGACTGTTATTAACAAAATGGATCTAACTTAAATATTTTTCATACAGTGTTATTAAAAATGTTAGTTTCACACAAAGGGATAGTAATGGGACTAGTACACTTCACAATATGATTTGTGAATTATGCCCATCAATGCAGCTAGCTAGGAACTCTCTCGTCTCATCAGGAGTAACATCAAGTCCAGTGTTTCAATCTTGGTTGCAAATGCAGCAGATATTCCTCAATCATCTAGTTTGCATAATAATTATTCTCACACACAACCAAATATTACTGAGCTCATCAGTCAAACATCTTTTTAAACACTGGAATTGTACTGGGTTACTTAGTAGGGACACATATATACCAAGTGCCTAGTTTGCCCACCTTTCTGTTTCAGTTTTAGCTCAGCAAATGCATCACTTGATACAGTTGACTCACTTCTAGCATTGATAAGTTCACATTCACTAGCACTATCCATCCACATGGAAAACTTGCATTTCTCTGGGACAGCTATGCCTGTCAATCATTGACAGCTTATCAGTGACACGGATGATAGGACAAAATATAAATATATAATAACAAGTATGTTACCAACATGTATTACTATCTATGCACAGGCTGTGGAGATCTGTTGTACACTGCATGTATATGTTTCGAGAGCATCAGGAATGCAAAGCTATACCATCACAGAAATTTTCAAAGCTTAAGGAGTTAATTAACTTTAACTGTTGGATTAAGAAAAGTTTTATTTTTTAGCTTAGGGATGACTTTGATTAGTCCAATGGCTTTTTCTTTTGTCACTATAAATTTTCAGAAATATCACAAAAATTGTTGAGGTACTGTTCATATTTTTTTACAAGCTGTTCTCATAGGATATTATCAAATTATAACTCAATTTTTAAATCAGAAAATGTGCCCCTAATTGTTTGTTTTATTACAGATGACTGATGTGTCCTAACAATGCTTATTATAAAGTTGAAATTCTGCAATCACAAGCATAAAAACACTACACCTTTTAAAATTATACATTTAATTTTGTATCTTGTGTCAGCACAGAAATTAGCAACATCTTTGAAAAGAGTAATAAAAGCAATTTAATTCTAAAGTTATAGGCAAGCTAAAAAATAATATGAGCAAATAATCCCACTAATTACTGCTAGATTTTTGTGTGCATTTCAGATAAAAATCAGTGTTAGGACAAGCAAAAACATAAAATCATTCAGTATATGGACCCCACCAGCAATAAACAGTATCTAAAAAGTTTGAAGATTAACTTTCTAATGGAAGTTTTGTTTTGTGATAATATGACTATGAGAAAATTAATGACAAGTGCACCAATTATTGTAAGATCATAATAAATGTTTCTGTTTCATTACATACTAAGCGACTCCTAACTGTTAATAACTGGGCTATATTGACCACTTTTGCTTTGATAAGTTTGTAACTCTTTTACAAAATAAAAAGGCCATAACTTAATTTTGTCAGGTATACTGCCCAGAATTAACTGTGGGGATGAAGTTATAAGTAGGTCACAAGGGCTAAATGCTAGGCTTAGTTTAGTATGTAAGGATGAGCAGATTAGCTGGTTGGACTTGTGGGATCACTTCAGTGGAAGAAGAGAGATTTTTTGAATGGATGGTTTACATTTAAATATGGTAGGGGCTGGCTTGTTTCCTAAGGATATTAACTCATCTGTAAAGGAAGTTTTAAACTAGGACTAGACAGTGGTGAGGGCCTGGAAAAACTAAATACAAAAAGAATAAAAGGCAGAGAAAAGTTTAGCATAAAAAATGAGTACAAAAGTAGTTATAAGGATAGGCTTAATTGTTATTATTCTAATGTTAGAAGAATAAGAAATAAAATAGAGGACTTTAATGCACTGGTAGGAATGGAAGATTTTGATATAAGGGGAATAACTGAAACATGGTTAAACATAGATGATTTTGATGACAGAAATTACTTTGAATTACAGGGTTACAGGCTATTTAAAAGGGATAGAGTATTAAAAAGGGGGGCTTTGTATGTAAATTGTGAGTTACATCCTGTTGAAGTTGAGGATATCAAAGATAATAGTAAAGAGATTGAATCCATTTGGGTTTGTATTAGCGGATATAAAGGGAAAAGGCATTTAGTGGGAATTTGTGAGAGATCACCAAATGATACTGATGAAATTAGTGAGAAACTTTACAATGAAATTAAGATTTCAGCTGTTAATGAAGTTAGAATTATGGGTGATTTTAACTTCAGGAATACAGACTGGAAAATTTTAAGAGACAAACCATGAGGGAGAAAGGTTTTGGAAATTGTTCAGGATGGCTTTCTTCACCAATTATTCAAAGAATCCACTAGAAACAGTACTATTTTAAATTTATTGTTAACTTCAAAATAGAAATGATTGAGAGGGTGGAAACTGGGGAACATCTGAGTGCAAGTGATCATTGCTCTATTAAGTTCAATGTTTTGTTGCATATGGAGATAAGGATTAATATTTTGGTTACAAGTTTTAAAAAAGTAAATTTTGAAGGAATGCAACAAGAATTATCTGTTGCGAATTGGGCAGTTGAGGTATTTGGAGACATGATTAGATGTGGAAAATGTTTAAAGATAAATTTTTGAATATTCAAAGTAAACTTATTCCTTATAGAAAGAAAAGGGTAGGTGCAAGTAAAAAACCAGGTTTAAGACATAAAATTTTAAGAAATTTAAATTGACTGGTATGACAGAAGATATAGAAGATCAAGAAAGTTAGTGAAACAGGAAATTTGGATTTACATCAATGACATAGTTGAAGAAATAGTCAATAAATTACTTAAATTGGGTGTTGCTAGCTGTGAATGGGATACTGCTGATTTACAAAAGGATTTAGATCATTTAATGAGTTGGGCAAATAAATGGCAAATGGGTTTTAATTACAATAGATGCAAGATAGTGCATTTGGGTTATCATAATTTGAATTATAAGTATAATTTAGATGGGAATAACCTTAACAGTGTTTTGAGGAAAGGAAGTTTGGTGTAATAGTCGTTCAGTCTCTAAAGCCATCCAAGTACTGTGCTGTTGCTAGTGGTAGAGCAAATAGGATTTTAGGTTGTATCTACAGAAATATTGAATACAAGTGTAGAGAGATTATAATTTCATTTGTACAGGTCACTGGTTAGGCCACATATGGAATACTGTGTTCAGTCTTGGGCTACTTACCTTAGGAAAGACATTGAATTGTTGGAAAAGGTTCAGAGAAGGGTTACTAGAATGGTGCCTGGGATTGAGGGGTTGTCATATAAGGAGAGGCTGAAATCTCTCAAATTGTTTTCTCTTGAAAAAAGAAGAGTTAGGGATTTCTGATTAAGGTGTTTAAGATTGTAAAGTGAATTGATAGTGTTGATGCATAATCTTTTTTCATATTTAACAGTGAAAATAGTAGGATAAAGGGACACAAGTATCAGTTTTGGCAAAGTAGGAGTCATCTTCAGCTAAGACAGTTTTATTTTTCTAACAGGGTGGTTGGCAGTTGGAATGGGTGCCTTCAGATGTTGTTGAGGCAGTACATTTATGTGAGTTTAAGAAAAAGCTTGATAAGTACATGAATGATAAGGGCTTGCTTTAAGATGTTTTTTTAAATTATTTTAATTGAGTTTAGAGGATGGAAGAGCCAAAATAGACCAATAGGTCCCATGTTGTCCCAAAATATTATGTTATGTTATCTTCACAATTGTAAACATAATCCCAACAAGTATAGAAGTTAAAATTACTCTTCAAACACAACATATTCACTTCTACTTATTGAATCATGGAAAATGATCTCTTTAATTACTGAAAAAAGAAAAATCAGTTTTAATTATAAATATTTTGAATTGAGTAATGAAAAACACTTTATGTAAAATATAATTTAGTTATATCAGATGTGCTTTAATGTTAAATAGGCATTATCAAAAGTATAACAAATTAATGTTTTGTTTGCAAATGTTCATAGTTCAACACAAACACTAAGGTTTCCAATGAACAAATGAAAGTGGGACTAAGCTTTGTAACGTTTTTACCAAACAGTCTAAATACTTCTTACAGATTATACTTTATATTACAGTGAGTAAAATATGTGAAAAACCATTAGCATAATTATCTTCTGTGTTTTTAATACTAACTTTGACCTTCACTATTAATAAAAAATCTGTCAACATTTCCCAATATACTAAACTAAATCATTAGAACATTACAATCAAGTTCATTTCAAATGAAAATAAAGCAATACAAAAACACCAAATAAGGAACTATTTTACATTTTGAAAATCAATAAACAGAACCAATGAAAACGTTTCACAACTATAACTGATTTATGTATTTATTTCAGATATTGTCCAGATATTGTAATTATAACTGTTACAATAACATGCCAATATGTGAATTCTTGTTGTCATTGTTAATTAGGCATATTTTAATATTTACCCACTTCAAAGTACATTTAAATGAAAAAACAAAAGTAATGAAAAGTTTTTAAGTTTCATTCCAAAAACTATTTTCTTCCTAGGTTTACCCCATAATGAATTTTGTGCATAACTGATGAAGAGTTTTTGTTAAATTTCATTCCAAACACTAACTTTCTTTTAGGTTTATCTATAATGAATTCTATGCAAATATTCTGAAGGAAGTTTGCATTTGACTAAATAATTTTTTTAAATAGTACTTGTTTCAAAAGGTGTTATGACTTTAAGATAATTCTTATATATCTTTTAAATAGAATGCTTTGTCCCATTTCCAGAATATGTCTAATACAATAATATTCTTATGACGGCGGAAGTCACGTGACGCTGGTAACACGTGATGAGTGTCTAGAGGATTCGCAAAAACGCTAGTGTTTGCTAGACATGCGCTCTTATAGTATATAAGACCGGCAAGAAGTGATGGCAGAGATATATAGATAATTGCAGACAGACAGACAATTGAGTCAAGCGTGGTAGTAAAGTGTGTGAATCGTTGTGAATTATAGTGTGTGTTTAAGTAAAAGTGACTGTGGAAATTAAGTGTATTGCAAAGTTGTAATGAGAGAGAATAAAATAGTTTTATTTAAGAAAGGACTTGTATCGCCGAAGTTTCATCGGAAATAAATTATACGGAAAATTAACAAACAAATAGAGACGTGACAATATTTAGGATTACAGCTTATTATTATAAATTTGAATTTTTTTTTCAAAAAGCACCAATTTCTGAGAGTAGATGAGATCAAACTCAAAGAACATCCACTAAAACACAAACTCTCAATTTGTCATGCCTATCAATAATTACAAGTCACATTCTTTATCCTGAACTCCCTCCAATAATTTATTTCAAAAATTAATAATTATTATTTCATGTTGTATAAGTAGGACTTGACCTAGAGAGCACAAATTCCTCCTCTATTTTTTTCAGAAATTAATAAATACAGCCAAATGTCCTTAAACTATCATATTGTTGCGTCAGCGAGTCACATGACTGGTGTGACGCCACGTTTCTAGAACTATCCCGTATCTTGGCGAATGCTCTAGTATTTACTAGATGGAGGGTAGACTGGTATATAAAGGAGGGTGACAACGTGACGGGAGATTAAT